ATGTGAGCCTAATCTCAAGTGAAGGAGAGAGGGGGAGAAAGGTGCATCAAAACATTGTGGATTGCTGTACAATTCGAGAAAGATGCAGCAAAACCGTAAAAACAACCTTTGAGCCAAAATTGGATAACAATGAAATAGTGTGTCTTTCATGGTTTATGTGTTGTGCCCCCTCCAAAATCTCATGCTTTAACCTTACATACACCTAATGGGGTAGGGTTGGGAGATAGAGTCTAGTGAGAGGTGTTTGTGGGGGACAGATCTCTCATAAATAGATTGAATCCAGCTCAGTGCTTCCTAATTATTCTTCAAGAGAGTGTGTTGTTATAAAAGCTAGTTGGCTACCCACAATTTGCTCCCTGTCTTTGCATCCCGATTTTCTTTCTGCTCCGCTCAGTCATGTGATGTAGAACCAGTGGCTGGCCACATGCTGGTCCTATGTGCTTGGATTTTTAATTTTTTTTAATCATCAGAGGGCACATGCATTGGTTGGGGGATGGGCAGAAGAAAGTGAGAATGTACCTCCCATGGGGAATGGTCACACCACAATTCTTTCTTCATTTCTCCTAACTTTTGAGATTTGGGTGTGCATATACACATGCCTGGTGTGGTTTTCAAGTTGCTGGGTTGAGGACTTGAACCACACAATCAGTCACATGAGATCCAACCTCCTTAACCACCATGCCACTGGCCAAGCCTGCTCTTGGATTTTCTAGTTACCAGAATCATGACCAAAATAAACTTCTTTGGTTTTTCTTTTGTTTTGTTTTAAATAAATCATCTAGTCTCAGGTATTCTGTTATAGCAACACAGTGTTCTTTCTTTCAGGGATGGCTCTTCCTTTTCCCCCTGTAATCACTCATTATGTAGGAACAGCCTTGGTACAAATCAGGCAGTGGATTTCAAAGCACAGTAGCTGAGGCTCTCAGTCAAGTTAGCTCCCTGTCAGGGAGGTCTGTGAGGAGCATACTCTATCTACTCAGAGTTGTCACATGCTTGGTCTGTTATGCAGCCTTCAACAGTTTAAAATATTTATTCCCATTTTATGAATTAGTTGCTGAGGTCAAGGAAGCTTAATGGATTAAGATACTGGCATAAAGTCCCAGAGCTATTAAATTTGGAAACAGAGACCAGCTCCACTTATACCGTTTTCTCAAGTGATATACTCATGGCTTCTCTAATTGAAAATATTTTTAGTGGATATTGAGTTAATTTTTATCTTTAATTTGCCAAATGTTTTTTTCTTTTTGCTGGAAACATTTCCTTTTTTTCATCCCATCTATCTGACCACAACTAAGTTGTCCAGAAATGAGCATCTACTCAATCTAAGCCATTTATGTTCTTCCCTGGGAAGTTCAAAGCCTAAAGACCTGCTGAGTGCTTAAGAGTATAAGGTAGGGAATTCGTTGGCCATCATGCTCCTCACTGTGATATAAATTAGTCTTATCAAATGAAACCAAAGTACACAAAGAAGTAGAGATAAGAGACAGTGATGGGGCAATTTTAGTTCCCTTGAGGCCCAGCTACATTCTGTTTTCTTTTAGCTCTTATTTAAGATACCTCAGTAACCTTCCAATTATTGCCCCATTTTGCCTAAATGAGTGAGTTATTGTCATTTGTCATCATGAGACCTTGACTAATACTGTTCCTCAGAAATGTAGACTTTGAAAGACCAGCAGATGAGGTAGTGGCTATGTCACTGGACTCCCGTGTAGTCGACCGTGGTTCAAGTCCCCGACCTGGTGGGTTAAACTCACGCTGGTGACATGTGTACGTGCCCAAGGTCCCAAGAGGAAAATGGAAGAGAAGGAACTGTAGCGTGGCCATCCCCCCTGGAGGGGGTGATTTCTCCCTTTCTGTCTCTCTGACAAATGCATGCACCCTATAGCAAAAACCTCTCCAAAAAAAAGAAATGTAGACTTTGAGATCTGTTATTATAGTGCTAATTTGTTTTGTTTTGTTTTTTCATTTTTTTGGGGGGGGAGAGGTTTTTGCTATAGGGCGCGTGCACTTGCCAGAAAGATAGAGAGAGACTGAGAGATAGAAAGTAAGAAATCAACCCCCCCCAGGGGACATGGCCTTCTCCTCCATTCTCCTCTCGGGATCTTGGGCATGCACGTACATGCGCCCGGTGTGAGTTTAAGCCGCTGGGTCGGCGCCTGGTGTAAGTTTAAGCCGCGGGGTCCAGAACTCCCAACGGCGGTCGACTACGTGGGAGTCCAGCGACATAGCCATTACGCTAACTGCTGGTCCCGTTTTGTTTTGTTTTGTTAGAGAGATTTCTGCTGTAGGATGTGTTCACTCACCAGAGAGACAGAGGGATGGAAAGTGAGAAATCCCCTCCACCCTAGGATGGCCACGGCAATCCTTCTCCTCCATTCTCTTCTTGGGACTTTGGGCACGCATGCACACGTGCCTGGCTTGAGTTTCAAGTGACCAGGTCTAGGACTCGAACTGCGGTTGACACATGGGAATCTAGCAATGTAACCATTATGCCATCTGCTAGTCCCTGTATTGCTAATATGATATGGTGAGTGCTCTTTCCATTTCTTACTTTCTTTTCTATTAAAAAAAAAAAAATGCCTTTTTCTGTTTTGTTTTTTTTTTTTTTTTTTTTATGTAAATGTCAGGGACAAATGATTTGACACTTAGAAGCTGGAGGGTTTGATAGAATTGGCAAGACAAGAATTTATTTGTGTACCAACAAACTTTAGAAACTTACTAATTTTCTATGATAAAGCAATTGATTCCTGCTATGGTTTGAATGTGTGGGCCCCCCACCCCAAATTAATGCTTAATCTATAGGAGTAAGAGGTGGAGCCTTTGGGAGGTGACTAGGAGTAAATAGGTCTTTAGGAGTGGGGTCCCCATGATGGAATCCTGGTGGGTTTATAAGGAGAGGGAGTGAGGCCAGATCAGAGACTTAAGCTCCTGCTCTTTTGCCCTGTGAGACCATTTGTCTCATTGGGAATCTGTAGGAAGGTCTTAACAGCAAGAAGATCCTTGGATTTCCAAATCCAAGAGCTGAATGAATGTTTATTCTTTATAAATTACCCATTTTGTAATATTCCATTATTAAGCAACAGAGCATGGGATAAAATAATTCCTTTCTTAAAACACCTGCCTAACTTCATTAATTAACCCACATGTAATAAAATACTTATAATATTGTTTATGGATAAATAAATATTTCTGAAAGGAAGCAAAAAGACATTAAGCCAAGCATAAAGATTTAGTTTACATTTAAAAATATCATAAAACTAGATCATCGTGAGTAGATACAGACCTGGCATTTTATATTGGTGTATTATTGTTATATGATCCAAGAAATCTGTCTCTTGAATAAAGTCTAAAATTGGAGCCCAGCTTGGCCTTGAAGAGTAGGATGATTGTTTACCTGATAATTAGGTTGTTTTTCATTTGTAGTTGCTGCTATCATTTTTGTTATTGGTTTTGCTATAGAGTACATGTGCTCGCCAGAGAGAGACAGAGAGAAAGAAATCACTCCCTAGGAGGGAATGGCCATTCTGCAATCCCTTCTCCATTTTCCTCTCAGGACTTTGGGCACACGTGTACAATCTCACAGTGTGTTTTTCAGGCTTCTGGGTCTGAGACTCAAACCATGGAGGTGGACGTTGAAGTCCAGTGCTTTCACCTCCATGCCTGCTGGCCTGAGAGGTTCATTAAACCTCAACTTTCCTGATCTTTGATATGGGACTAGCGAAATAACAGATCTCTAAGATCCCTTGTAATTCTATTATACTCTTATGTAAAAGAAATATGTTTTTGAGAAGTAACAATTCTCTTCTGTATTTTGTTCTCATTTTATGCATAGAAAATAGACACATGGTAAGCAGATTGGTATATAAGGCGAAACTGTTGTTTTCTTTGGGAAAATGGATGCAACTCTTTTTTAGGACAGTGATACAACTAACCTGGGGCTTATAAAGTAGTATGAAGAGCTAATATCATCACTCTTATTTTTCTGAGATTCATTGCATTGCTCACTAACCTATTCATATTTCTATACCAGGATTTGATTCAATGGAAGGAAAGGAATGTTTGGAAATGATAACTCTGAAGGTAGCAATAATGCATTTCCATAACCAATATTATAATAAACACCAGTGCTTTCCTATGTATATTCACTTTATAATGTCTCAGAATACCATTTTAGTTTTTAAAATAGCTTTTACAACAATTTTATATATAACTATTACAAGTTATCTAATCCCTGCAATTGATAAAAGTCTTCTTATACTCTATAGAGTTGCCCATCACATGCTTTCATTAACCAGGGAGAAACCAAAATGAATTATTCTTTGAGGATTGTTCCATTTAAAAAAATGATTTTTTAGGTATCAAGCATAGCCTTATGAACTATAGCTTCACCCACATCCCTGGATTTTTCCTATTTGAGACCAATTTGACAAAAAGTAATTAGAAATTGCCCACACAATAAAGTAAAAATAATTTTTCAGCTGTTAAGTTGGTTTTAGAAGGGGTTTGGTAAATTTAAGGAGTGTATGGGTTTTTTGTACTTTAGTTTGCTTTTGGCTGTGCTACCAGACTGGGCCTTTGGATGCTAGTCTCATGACTTCTTTACATACACCATTTTGTAATATCATTTTTTAATTGAGAGACTATAAAGATTTATTATTTTTGATTATTTATTTAGCATTTAGTATTTTTTATAATAATAAGAATATAGAAGAATTCTTTGTTTGTAGGATGGCTATTGGTTTATAGTCTCTAACCATAGGAATTAGTCTATTTTTGCCTGATTTTCTTTCAAGAAGGAAAGACATATATGGTGTTTAGAATTTTATCCTGGACATTATTGAGTTCTCTTGATAGGAGAGAAGAACTTCTGTACTGCTTATGCTTCTTTAAAAGCTAAATCTACTTGGAATTCAACATGTCTGATTTGTAAAATTACTCACATTATTGCACATACTAGCTTCCAGCCCCAGACCTATCAAACCTGTTTCCCCTATTATTACCTCAAGTCAGTTTGAGGCACCATGTTCACATCATGATAGCATTTTGGCACAGCACCTTCGTGTCCGGTAAGTGTGAGTTGACACAGTGAATGGCAGGATTCTTCCTGAAGGCCATTCCTACAAGGAGATGGTTTGCAATAAAAACTAAACTGTATGCAGAAGTGACTGTGAACCATATGCATACATCACATAAATCAAACTCAGCATATTCCTGACTTAGTTTCTGCTTAGCTAAATTCTTAAAATGCACATAGCCATTCAAACTTTACTCAGCACAGTGGGAAGTCTCCTGGTGGGAACAGCAGAGTAGAAAGAAATAACAGTCTTAACTGATTGTGATTAAAATTCTTATTTTGGCAAATTTTACAAACACATATTGATCATGTGGCTATATTGCAGGGTATCTCCCAGAGCCTTGGAAAGAATCTGTGTGAGACACCCTGAAGCTTTATTAGCTTGGTAAATCTAGCCCAGCAAACTGGTCAAGCAATTGCGTATCAGATGGGTTTTACCTTGGGCCAAACTCTTTGGGCAAAAGTGTATTCCAAAAACATACACTATTGCTTGTATTTTTTTTTTTCTTCCTAAGAGAATTCTAAGCTTGGCAGTTGGTTGTGCATAATGAAGACTTGCTTACTTTTCTCCCTGCTGAGACTGTTATGATTAGATGTGATAAATCTGATCATAACTTTAATAAGAAAATGCTTTCACCTCATTATTTGCCCAAGCTGTGTGTGTGGGTTTTATTGGCCATAAGTTGTACTTACTAATTCCTCAGAATCATGAACAAAGGGTCCCAGGGAAAGCTTCTAGGTGAAGGGGTTTCTAGGCAGATCAATGACTGCATTCAGGTGCGCCAAAGAATCCAAACACGGTGTTAATTGAAACACAAAATTAGGCTTCCCTGACAAAGTGAAGAGACTTGCTGCTTCTCAGCAATGCTACCTTTATTAATTGTATTCTATGAATTTTCCATTCTTCCTCTCTCACTCCCTCCATTTTCCACAATGGATCTATTTGTTGCTTTGAGAAGAGGCTGTTAGGCCAAGATAACTTAATCACTGCCATGTTAGGGAATGCTGGGCCGAGTTAGCTTAATTGCTACCATGTTAAGGCTTCAAGGACGGAGCTCACTGTGTTAGGGCCTCAAGGACAAAGACCAGGAGTCTGGGAACTCACAGATAAGCAGAAAATGGGAGGGCCCAGCACCACTGAGGCAAGGTCATCCAGACCCTTAGCTGAGAGCCCTTATCTAAATCTGAGCAGGTGGTGACAACTGGGCCCTCGCTTCCCATACCCCCCTCCTTTGTGTGTGTTACATTCCATGGAGAATCCTGAACTATAAAAGACCCCTTTATCTTAGGTACGGGGTCCTTGTTAAGACCCGCTACAATGGCAGAAACTCCGACCCCAGCTAGCTGGAAAAAGAATAAAAGCCTCTTTCGCAGTTACATTGTCGTTGTCTTTTCTGTGTTTCCATCAGTTAGACCAATTGAGACTTGCTGCTTGTCAGCAATACTACTTTTATTAATTGTATTCTAAGAGTTTTCCATTCTTCCTTTCCCACTCCCTCCATTTTCCACAATAAATCTATTCGTTGCTTTGAGGAGAGGCTTAAAAATAGAATGAATTAGCCAAGGTCCTAATGGGAAGAGATGGAGTAGTTGATGACACTTTAGTAAGCAGATTTTTGCAGGGGTATGGACAATGTTAAGAGAAACCAATACAAGGTGGTGATATACTTCCTATTTTAACAATATCAAGCAATCACATCTGTAAATTTGAAGGGCCAAGTAAAAGGTCATCACTGACACCAGGAGAGAGAACTATCCCTGTAGAAGAGTGACATTTGGTAGAAATGGCGTCTCTGGTAGAATCGATAGCCTGGCAGTGTGAGTTGAGGAAATAAACACCCAGATTTTCTTAGTCTCCTGTCTGATGTCAAGTCTTTCTTTCTAGGGTAGACTTAAGTTAAATAAAATTAAATAGCTTAAAACCCTTCTTTTGACATTTCTGTGACAAAGTGTAGCCTATTATTATGTTTTTTATTGCCAGAGGGCAGGTGTGCTTATAAGAGAAAAAGAAAGAGAAAAAGTACTCCCAATGGGTCATGGTCACACCACAGTCCTTTTTCCTCTAGTTCTCCACCCTGGTAGGATACAAGGCATGCATGCACACAGGTCTAGCATGTTTTTCAAGTTACTAAAGCTAAGGTTTGAACTGTAGTTAATCATGTGAAACTTGGTGGTTAAACTCTGAGCTTTGGAGTTGGCCCCAAATTGTACTGTATGAAATATAGCCTTAACCATCATTGCTTTTCATTACAGAAAAACTTGTTTAAAACATTCGACATTAAACCTTTTTATTGACTATTTTACATTTTGGTATAAAATGCACATTGACTTTGTTAGAGAATATCTTGCTATGTTAAATGAAATAAGAGAGTCTGTGGAATTATTAGTAATGAGAACCTGTTACAAGATACTAATATTAATCAATAAAACAAGCAAATTATAATGCCACTTACATGAAGTTTATTTTTTTAAGTTTTTTTTTTCCATAGGGTGTGTGTGCTTGTCAGAGATACAGTGAGAAGGAAGGTGAGAAATCAACCCAGGGGGGATGGCCATGCTGCTATCCCTTCTCCTTTTGAGATTTTTGAGTACATGTGTACATGTGCCCAGTATGATTTTCTAGCTATCGGGTCCAGGACTTGAATTGTGGTCAGGCATGTGGAGATCTAGCACCTTAACCACTATACCACCTGCTGGCCTTATATGAAGTTTTAGAAACTATGTTTGGCATGTGCTTGCACATGTGCACACATACACACACATCCCATATATCCATATATAAGCACTTATAAATCTATAGACATACATGGCTATGAGACACTGAATTTAAAAATAGCTACTTTTAGCATGGGAACGAGTATCAGAATTATT